TTTATATATTTTTCCAGGTCAGGACGAACCCATCTTTTCAACCCGCGTTTGAACGCGTCGACCAGCGAAGCATTCCGGCAACTTTTGCAGGACCGGACCGGGTCCCGGATCATGGTAGCCGGTGCCCAAGCAAAACCTTCTCACGACAACTTTATCTCCATGACCGTCATCCTACGTGGCCTCGCCTGGCTGCGCGACTCAATTGCCAACCAAGCCGAGCGATTCTTCCTCAGAGTCCTCGCAGCGGGCCCGGTGCCCAGACATGTCGCTTTCGTTATGGATGGAAACCGCAGATACGCTAGAAAGCAGCAGAAGCAGGTACAAGAGGGGCATGTGGACGGGTATGTTGCTTTACGGCGGGTGAGTTTTCCTTGCTTTTTTGGGGGGGAACCACGACTAACGAGAAGAGAACAGATGTTGGAGGTCTGTCTGCGTTTAAATGTCCAGTGCGTCAGCGCGTACGCGTTTTCGATTGAGAACTTTAAACGCTCCGAAGATGAAGTGGAGGCGTTAATGAAGCTAGCGGAAGAAAAGCTGCTGGAGCTTTGTGAACATGGGTGCGTTCCTCATTCTGCCTTCCTTCATTTCGGCGCTTCAAAGTCTTCTGGCTACCTAACAGGGACATTCTTGATGAATACGGTGTCAGACTCAATGTTTTGGGTAGAACGAGTCTCCTGCCAGAGAAAGTCCAACTCGCAGTTCAAAAGGCGGAATACATGACTCGACATAATACACGGTACATCTCACCCTCGCTCCGCTCCACCAACCTGAACCATAATACACAGCGCTATCCTTAATCTCTGCATGCCGTATACATCACGCGACGAAATAACAACCGCCGTTGAATCGTGTGTCCGAAACGCTGACCCTTCAAACCCGTGTGTTCATCTCTCTTTCACCCCTACTGTTTCTCCCTTCTCATGGCGTATTTAACTCACTCAGGCAAATCACCGAAAAGGACATCGACGCTCAACTAATGACATCATTAGGCTGCAGTCCCCCACTCGACATCCTCGTAAGAACGAGCGGGGTCAAACGGCTGAGCGATTTCTTACTGTGGCAGGTACGCACGACTTCTTCCTCATTGAATTAGAATTCCTGACTGTAGTCGTTAGTGTTGTGAAGATACTCAGATCCAAATCTCTTCCACTTTCTGGCCGGACTTCGGCCTCCTTGACTTTGTACCTATAATTCTCGACTTCCAACGGAAAGCGTGGGGAAGGCGGATATCTCTGTAGCTTGTTATTGAAATGAGGTGAGTGGGGTGAATGGTAACCGATCATTGTAGTTTGATTGACCACAGAAAATCCAGGTGGTTTGCTTGCTTTTCTGAGTAAAAATGCTGCTCTTTGTGGAAGCATCATCTCACTTGTGCTGTGGAAGCGAGGATGGCGGTACGTATATGGCGCCCGGAGACCATTCACAACTAATGCTGGATCAGGTCCTAGTCTTCACCAAATGCGTTACGTACTCCATTTACTGATTCTATTGACGGCTACGCAGCTAGCGACATTGCATGGGGACCGCAATGTACGTATGAACTTTTAAAATTGGTGTTTTAAGAAAAATCTCTCGATTTTATCACCATAGCAACCTTCCCCTTTACGGATTCTGTATGTACCAGAGAACTAGTGACTTACCCTATTATATGAGGGGGGGAGGGATTAGCCGTGTTCAGCAATTAGGCAATTTACGCCAACGTTGATCAAATGCCCAAGCATGCTTACATAATCCGATAAAACCCTCCACCGTCCACAGAGCATGGCGACATACTACCATCCCATGCCTGCTGCACCTGTAAATTTTTTCGTGACAAAAAGATACAGAATCACATCTAATGTTTCAATAGGCCATTGTCCAAGTGCCGCCATGGGCCGATTCGCTCGAGCTCATGACGATATTGAGGGTATGAACGCTGGCGCCGGTCTCCGGAATGTGCGCCCGTTGACCATTTCTGCAGGAGAGTCGCCTTGCCCAATTTGCAACCATTGATCAACAACGCGAGCTTATGAGGTACATGCAGGGGTTAAATGGCTGGCTCGAGCAAGACACACACGATCGTCACTCGGAGCTCCGTAGGGTTCTCGCGCGATTAGATGAATTGCGAGATGATCTGCGGGGTATACTTGCATCAGTTCAAGTGGTAAGGACGACCCGACCATCTACAAGCGGAGGTAATCCTCCAGATCGACATCATCAGCCACAACCTTTTAGGCCGCGCCGTTTTTCTGAATCCCAAATGCCAACACCGCACCATTTTGAAGGACTACAAATGCGTCAACCCCGTCATGTAACTGAGCTTCCGCCTGGTTTTCAACCATTTCCTACGCAACCTGTCATACCACCAGTCATCCCTGCAGAGTATCACACACCAACTCCATCTTTTTCGCCTGTTATTCCTCCCGTTATACCTGCAGAGCATCACACGTCGACTCCACCCTTTACTCCATTCATTCCTCCGGTATCAGTTGCCCCCGCGGGGCATCGCACGCCAACCCCACCCTTCACCCCAGTCATACCTCAGATGCCTTATCAACGATCGCCGTTCAATATATATCGTCAACCATACGTTCCTGTGATACCAACGGATAGCTTCCGTCCTCCAAGTCGGATGCGTCCAACGTCGCCTCAACAACACGAAGAGGAGCCACCTATTCCCTTCATCCCACCTCCTTTAACCGGAAGTCAGAGTGCTGGGTCATTGAGGCAGTATTCAATGCTAATGCGGGGACCCACTTCTATACCGGGGTATGAGTAGATACTCTTGCTATAGCCCACTTTGGGGGAGGGGGGCGACAGCCGCGTTTGACGTCTCTGGACTCCCCGTCGCAGTAAGTTAATGACCGTGAATGATAGATAAACCAAGATTGAAACGGGAGTAACAAGGGGACAAATGAAAGAAAGAATCCCAAGGACAGGAATAATCTTGGAAGCGAGCCATTCAAAATATGATCATGCCGAACAAATCCACACACCTCTCTTCGAAGATCGCTATACCCAATTGTCAGGAGTCGTCTTAGCAAGATCTCAAGATCTTGACCTCTGTAGTAGAGTCTGTCGACGACGTGCGGTATGCTATGGTACTCTTGCAGATAGCGAAGACAAGCCAAGCATGGGTGTTTGATGGGTGTACTAGTTCTCAAACAGGGCTGATGACCGCCACGGCCCAGAGATTGAAATACCCCGCTGTCGTAAAGTAGGAGCAACACATTCGGTTGAACTTCATGGACTGCCTCCCACAAAGCCGAATTCAAATCACAATGAGCGGCTAACAAATCAATTAATCAAGGCTTGTATAACTATCAAGATGCTAAAACAAATCTGTACAAGAATAAATTCTGGGAACGAGAGATTAGTTCTGATAATAGGATTTTGTGCAACAAATGATGCACCTCTAAATTGTCAAAAGAAATCGTCGTATCCGGGCATCAGAAGTCGTCATAGTATTCCTGAGCCCCGTAATACCTTTGTCCGCGACGTGGGCCATGGTAATCTGACAGATAATGAAGATAAGCTATCGAATAAGGGCAGACGAGAGGAAGGGGGTACTGACAAGTACTGGTATCCCGGGCAGGGCTGATACCCGCCACGGCTCCAAGATTCAAATACCCTCCTTCCCTTTGCACGCCAACACCAGCGGCAGTGCCGGGGACAACCCATCGAGCTCGACACCACACGCAATTCAACTCCTTTCCACTATTCACGCTCGTCGTTTGCCCTACGCACAAAATCATCAACCCAACGAAAAACGAACGATAGAAAAATAAACTCACATTGCCCAAAACACTCTTTGTGCAACGCGTTACCACATTCCTCACAGAAAACAAGAGCCGTCTCCGCAACGCCGTGCATCCCGTCATAACATATGGGACAATCGTCATCCTTGCCAGGGATACGTTTCTTGTTTTGGGGAGCGGGCGTTACTGCGGTTGATCTCCCAAGGGCCCTGTCGTGCGCTTCCCTGATTCGTGGGTTCGTGACGTCATTGGGCGCCAGAGGTGCTTCCGCAAAAATGCTCTCAAGTTCCGTTGTTAATAGGGCCCTAGGTAAGGAGGTGGTGGAGGTGAGATGAGGGAAGGAGGAGGGGTGTGAGAGACGTACTTTTGGTACCAGTGTCCCGAGACTTGTGAAACTTGGAGGACTGAAAAGGGTTGAGGATGCTTCTAATTAGTGACGGCATGGATGTACGTACCTTTAATGAGTATGAATAGGATATGTTTACAGTGGTTCCCTTTCAAAGCGTCGGGGCAGTTGCACCTTGGTGTTTTGTCGATCGTTACGGTGTATACCTAGGTAGAGGTCAGATGCCGTGAAACAAAGGAAGTAGTTGGGTCGCTCACGTTGCCAGTTGATCCCAACACGCTAAATTCTTCGCGTAATTCCCCTTCGTTCCTCCTTCTATCGATCATGAAGAACCTAAGGATATTTTAGGGGCCTAATTACGCGTCGAAAACCAAAATCGCGTACCTTTGCTCCCTAACTCTTTCAACGCGATCCAAGATGTTTTGTGGGCACTTCGCCTTGAACTTCGCGCCGCGTTTTTCTGGAACTGGGGCATTGGGATCCTTCTTCTTTCGGCCCTTTGGTGGCACTTGGCTCGAACTCGGACCCGCAGATGACGGTTGGGATGAGCTGGCTGCAGCCCTAGGCTGCGATGACCCCGACGGCAATCCACGCGATTGTGCCAGGGTGGAAGGCAACGTTAACTCGTCGTTTATCTTGTTCACCGCCTTTCGCTGGCGTTTCGTCGGTGGTGCGGTAGCATGAGCCGACAAAGACGAGGTGCTTGGTGTTGGGAGAACACGAGTAGCCTGCACCGGAGGGGCCGATATGGAAGGTAACGTTAACTCGTCGTTGAATTTGGGTCTTCGCTGTCGTTGCGACGGAAGTGGTGCTGCTCGAGCAGTAAAAGAAGACTCGCTCGTTGTTGAATATGTAGTACGCGTCGATGACCCCGCTACGGAGGGCAGAGTCAACTCATCGTTGATCTTGTTCCCTGCTGCTTGTCGTTGTCGTTTCGCTGGAGGTTCTTGTACACTGACGAGGGGTGATGATGCGCGTGCTGGACTCGAGCCCGCCGCTGATGAGCTCTTTGAAACCCATGCGACGAACTCGCCGTTAGCTTTCCGTTTGCTCAAGACCATTGGCGGTGAAAGGAAAGAGGACAACAATTCGGGCAGCCCATCTGAGGTTCTAACTCCGAGACACAACTTCAAGCTCAGACGGCCACCCACTCGAATCCGATTCCCTACCTACTCAACATCGCCGCTGTAAGTGTTCCAGTCACCTATCATTCTTGGATAATGCTAAAATATGACAGTACTGCCGTACGGATAACATGTTGCAACGTCTTTGACCAGTCTTCAACATTGCCTCCGTAATCCATGTCATTTCATCTCGGCTCCAGGATACATCAGCCATCTGCGACTGCGAGGCAAGAACCTTACGCTGTCTTCGGATTCAACAACGTTAACTCTGAAAACCACGTTCCCCCGCTGCCACTCATGTAAAGGCTACTAGTTGAGCTCTTTGCAGATACCTTCCTCCTTTGCATTTCTACTCGATCTCCTCCCATGATTCATGCATCCACGGAACCTCCCAGATCATTGTGTCGCGCCTGCAGAATCTGGCGGGAGGTGACGCTCAACCTTCCCAGGTTGTGGACGGCACTATCTGTTGACATGGATGCTCTTGCGAAGAAAACAAGTCGCTATCCGATTTGGTCCATCAGTGGGTTGCGAGGCTTAACCAATTTCCATTGACGTTCAGGTTCAAGCACACGGGCTTCGGGACTGACTGGGCCATTCTTTATCAAGTATGGAGATGACTGTGATTTGAAGGACTCTTACAAAACCTACATTGACAAGTTCGGTCCTGTGACTCCAGCCGGAAACACACACGCAATCAAGGGGGTAGCGGGACGTGGATCCCGAACCAAGGGTTGGGGGGGGGGTGCTCGGCCGAAGGCCGAAAAAAAAAAGTGACACCCATCAATTTGGTGGCAGAAGTGGTCAGCGACCTGCCTGTTGCGACGTTGGATCGTTCTAGTAGATGTCCTAGCTGCTGTAGATACTTACTTGGCCATACTGTACTAATACGACCACGTCTTCACGTCACGCATCACAAATGGTTGTGAAGGAAGGGAAGTAGGCGTGATGTCACGCATCACACCAAGTTTTGAAGAGTTTTTTTCTTTGAATTAAAAATAGTCATTTTTTTCTGGACCTGCGGTGCCTTTCTTAAGCATCACATTTGGCATATTTAGAACCATGCCATACTTGAGGAATGCATGCTTACCTTCCAGCCAAAAAATTGACAGGTTGCTGGGCCAAACCATCTGAGAAATATGTGGTGGACAAAGAGCAAAAACTCTTCGTCACACATCACACAGGACAATGAAGTGACGAAGAGATGGTCAAAAGGTGTCACACCCCAAGGGGCCTGAACAGTTGGTCGTATTAGTACAGTAGTAGACAGCGAGAAGCAATTTTGAACCCCCCAACATGTGGCAAAGAAATCACGGTAATGAATTTAACAAAAACATAGACCATGGGTACTATTGCTAATTGAGGTTGAAATAAGAGTCAAATTACGGCCAACAGCTTCATTGTGCAGAGTGTAATACAGATGTGCATGTTGGTGCCGGTGGGATGAGTAACTTGAACGTGCATCGAGACTCGAAAACATGCAGAGAGAACAAGGCCACCAACACGCGACCCCCACAAAAGAAAGAGAAGTCCTCAGCTTTTTTAACCAGAAAACCATACAACAAAATACCCCTCGAGTCTCACGGCAGGGGAAAAGGAAGAGAGAACTGTGGTTGGGTGGTGATGTGCAAAGCGCGAGGTTGCAAAACAGGCTGCCAGGTGTGTGCGCCATGAGATTTGTCAAATGTTTTCGCGTTTTATGTAGAAAAAAAATTCTGAAAACATAAGCATGGGAAAAACATACTTGATTAGGAAGGTAGGGGTAGGGGGGTGTCAAGCAGGACTCTGAAAAAAAAATAATGAGTGTTGGTCTCTTTTCCACATTCCGCCACCCCCTTGCACGCAATGGTCGCCAGCGCTCTACACTGGCTTCGAAGGGCTCCAGCTATTCCTGGAGACCATCGGCTCTTTGGGAGGTGGCCCTGCCTGTCACAAAGTATGAAAAATTTTGAGGCACCTCGACTTGTCGCCACCAGGGGGCAATTCGCTTCTAAGTTCTAATGAATCTAAAGTTCTATGGCTATCAGGCCTAGGTCTGTTCAATGAACATTTCTCTGTTCCAATTCTCAAACGTCATATGCTATGCCAACGCAGAGACCGACGATAAAGGGCTGCGAAAGAATTGTGAAGAAGAAAGTAGTAGTGTGATCAGAAGCTGTACTAAGGGTCTGTCCGGCAATGAGAATCCATTTTCATTCTCATTTTCATCTTCATTTGATGGCTGACAAATTGGGTCACACACCAAATTGGGCAACAACGATAACTGGGCTTCTTGCACAACCCACATTCCGTTGTTATATTTTCTATGTACAACACAGTAAGTTTCTACTGTCAGCTATAGCATGTATTTCTTTTCAATTTTTATTTTGCAAAAATCATGCATATTTACTTTATTTATGTAAATTACATACAACCAATCTGTATTTAAACTACCTACTTGT